ACAAAAGGAAGAAGAGAATGAAAAGAAAGAGACAAGAGAGAGGGCAGGTGATGTGGTAGTTGCCACATCACTTCATACAAAAAGCCTTTGTATCTCTAGTATTTTTCTTTAAAATTTAATTAAAACTTTGATTGTCTATCGTTATTATGTTCTTCGATTAAAAATCTAATCAAATTTAGGGGCACGGCTATATTCCTCCATTCCTCTTTTATTTATTGCACAAATAAATTAAAATTAAAAACTCTAATCAAATTTGGGGCAACTTCGATTAAAGTAATCACACTTGACTTTTACAATTTCGATATGCTCAAATATCTGATGAGGGAAATAAAGAATTAAAAAACCATCACTGAGTGGCTCAGTGGTCAACTAGGACTCTTGGAGGTATTACTTAAGAGATTTTGAGTTCGGTCACTTGAGTTGCTAATAAGAGTGGTCATTGAGGGGATTTACCTAACTGTTAACTTCAGGGCCTCAAAGGATTAGCTGAGGTACCCACAAGCTAGTCCAAACACCCTCAGTCACCCAAAAAAAAAAAAAAAAAAAAATAATAAATAAAGAATTAAAAGAAGTTATAAATCTCAATTTGCCAACTTTTAATCCTTAACAAATTCAATTTCCTTTTAGCTAGTTTGTTCAATCTATAATTGTAACCAATATTATTATATAATGCCCATCTCCAGATTAAATGTCTTAGACTCTTGTTATTCTAACAATTGACATAAGAGCGCAATTATCAACTAACCCATAGTGGTGCTACCTATTTGCCTTAAAAACATTGAGCTAACCATCGTAGTTGCCATGCCACCATCACAACCATTTGCCGATACCACAATATTAACCCTCGTGAAGTAAAAATTGACCAAACCACCACCACCACTTGCAATACTAATGTAGCCATGCTAGTGTATTTCAATGGTAGTGCCGGCAATTGAAATAAAAGATTAATATGATATGTGATGGTGGGTTAAGGTATAAAATTAAGTTTATAAGGATTTAATTATAATTTGTTAAATATTTAAGTTGGGGGATGATATAGAAGTGCCTAGTAGGTTGCCACATTATTTGGGATCGTAATTTTGGAGGATAATTCTCTATATATAAACTTTTTATACAAACACACACTTATACAAATTAATGTGTTTCAAGAAGATTGGATAATTTTAAATTAAAAACAAATTAAAGAATTAAAGGAGATTACATGTCAACCCATCATGGTTGCCACATCTGTTTGTAGATAACTATCACAAGACTTTTAAAATCAATAATACTATACTCACAAACCTTTCTCACTAACTTTTTTTCACAAAACGCGACGTGTTAGCTCGTAATTGATCAGCTCGCAATTAGTCTTATCTGCCCAAATGCAAACTGTCACATCAGTGTTTGTGAGATGCGCTTGTCAATCAATCTTTACTCTTTTAAAATATAGAACCATAAAGTCTTAAAAAAATTTGTACAATAATTATAAACTTTTTTGTGTCTTTCCGAATACAAACTAAATATTGAGTATTCAAACATTGGAAACTTAATTTGATGGGGTCAATCAACAAAGAAATCAGTTTTCATATGTATATTTAATGGATTAGGCTATATTAACTTGATTTTTTTTTCCACTAATTAATAACCTATTAATCAATGACAATTTAATAGTTAAACGTTGTTAAGATGACACATAGAGATAATTTTTATTTTTTGGTAATCGAAATGTCCGAACCAGATTGCGTACACCTCAACTATTATCTAAGATGCTCTAAAGCTGTGATCAGTTAGTAATGTTCCAATTTTAAGTTGTCATAGTCTTTAATATACATGTATAGTCTATAAAAAGCCATTTATGAGGGGAATAGGAGTAAAAAAATGAATTTAAGGGGTTAAATAAAAGTTTCATGAATTAGGGAGCAAAATAAATAAATATTTAGGGATGAAAAATTGAAAATGATATATTTTTATATAAATTCTAAAATTTTTGCCTTGCATAGTTGCACATGGCTTTGGGCTTGGTGTTCCCTTGTGTGGCAAGGTCTTTTGCTAGTGAGATTTAACAGTCAAGTTGGTCATTTTGATTTTTGCCTTAGCAATGAGATTAGTGAATGAACCAACACTTTAAATAACCATTATGAAGATACGTAATTTTTTCTGGTAGAACAAGAGAACACAATAGGTGAAGCTATGAAGTATGGAAGTATGTAGATTCAACCTTTAGCCTTCAAAGTACCAACTAGCACCAGTGGGCATTTGACGAAGCATCAAGCAATTAAAAAAAATAAAAAAATTAAAATTAAAATTATCATATTATTTGGATTTTTATTCTCCACCACCCTAAAAGATGAACTAATTAAAAGTGTACCTATGATTTCTGAAAAGTATTTTATACCTTCTACCGGGGGGGTTTTTGATACTCTCCAAAGGGGTAAATGATAATCTTAAGTGGGAAAATGAGAAACTCAAAGGGGTAAATGAAAATCTAGTGAGGTACATAAAATAAAATAAAAAACAGTGGGTGCACTAAAACATGACTCATCTCTTAATGGTGGAAATAAATCTTTTTTCTTTTAATATTAATTAAATTAATTGATATAGAGTGAACATTTAGCAAACAAGGACCGCATAGCGCAGTGGATTAGCGCGTTTGACTTCGGATCAAAAGGTCGTGGGTTCGACTCCCACTGTGGTCGGTGGCTTTCGTTTAAATAATTAAGCTGATGAATTTTTTTTATGTAGGTCCATGCCAATTTACGATTTTACCCATGATTAACTATCAGGGCCCATACTCTTTTACGATCTTGACCCATGATTCGCTATCTAGTCCAGCCTTGGAATAGAACGACCAACAGTCCCTTGTCTTGATCTATGGCCTTTTACTTTAATCATTGAAATGAATTATCTATAATACCCATAAAATGTTGCTAATATTTATGACCATCGATTCATACGTATGGATGACAATTTTCCCTGGAGGGGATTTAAAGTTTAAACTAAAATGTCAACCATGGGTCGTGGGGATACCCAATCCCTATTTGGGAATCTGGGATGAGAATAAGGATGCTAATGCTATTTTATTTTATTTCTGGGATGGGGATTTTCCAGTTGCCTTCGCTGTTAATAAAAAAAAAAAAAAAGAGCAAAAGTAAATAATAAATAAATCCGACAAAACATTAAAAAATACAAATATAGACCCGATTGAATTACCATTAAACAAACTGATAATTTTCAACTTGATAGCATAAATGGATCCTATAATTTGGAACTTGGTTGTTTAGCAGTTGCTAACTTGCTATCATAATTTATCGAAATAAGATAACTTTTCATAAATTTTTTTACATTTGATATTTAAAATATCCGAATATATGTAAGTGGATATATAAATATTTTCGCTATTTTATTCTAATATAATAGAACCGCTCTATAGTCATAATATTGGAACCAACTAATTTTATTACTATAATGATGTTATAACTTAATAAAGACATTATTACAAGAATTATTGTTTTGATTTTTTATTTTGTAATACAAATGAATTGAGTGAGCAGATTCGATAACTTCACTACACTAATGAAATAGATATCAATTTCTTCCTCAACCATCCAAATGAGTAACAAGTCTTGTATGTTTTAACTAAAGAATAAATCATTATTCGAATTAAATAAGAAGAGTAAGGAGATAATCTTAAGAATGATAGTACGAAAAATACCAAAAGTTTCGTGTCAAGAAACTATAAACATACTTGAGAAGCTATAAATATTTTGACTTCAACAAAAAGGTATCCATATTGGTGACTTATTAACTACTTGCAAGATAAAAGATGTGGTAACAACTCTAAAACATAAATCACTGTCCCAAACAACTTTAGATAAATATTTTATTTCATCTTAAATCTTGAATGTAACATAATTTATGTTTTTTTGCTATATACATATAATTATTACTATGTAGAAGCAAGTTCCTTAAGATGAAATCTACAAAAATTATAATTTATTACAATGTAAAATTTATTCTTATTTATAACTGGCCCAAGTTGAGACCAAAATTTTTTATGACTATATGGAGATTATTCTTACATAGCGTTAGACTGTATTACAAAAAAAAAAAAAAAATGTTAGTTATGACTAAATTACTTTTCTTCGCAATGTAGTGTAGGCATGACAATGCTCTCCGGAATTCTGAGGACCCGTCCCACCCCACCCTATATTAGGCAAGGAAGCCCCGGTTTTTTCAGGGATAGGGGCCGGGGTGGGGGTTGTTTTAATCCCCATCCTCAGGAATGGGGCGGGGGTGGGTGATGTGTATATATATATACTTTTCACTAATACCCCTATATTTCACCTAATTATACAATTGTCCTACCTATATAAACCCATATTTTCTCAATTTCTCTCATCCTAAATAATTGAATAAGAACAAACCCTAACCCATATTTATGTCAAATTAACTATGTTTAAACGATTAATTTAAGTGTTTGTCATGTAGACAATAATTAACTATTGTGTTTGATAATACTCAAATTAATTTATGTTTATGTAAAATTAACAGGGCGGGATGAGCCTCCAACATTTCTCTTTGGGCAGGGAAGGGAAATTTCTGTCATCCCTGTAATGGGGATGGAGAGTGATTTTGAGAGTGGGGATGGATATGGTGAAAGAGATCCCCGCCCTGTCCGCCCCATTGCATGCCTGATGCAGCGGTAGCATAATTTGTGAATTTTGTAGCCACATGTAATTATTTCAGCTAAATATTCAATTATCAGGGAGCTCTGTAACGTTACTGCCATGTACAAACTATACCGTGCACTAAGATTCTCATCTCAGTATGGATCCACTTAATCAATAATCACAACAAGGTCTGAAACTCAAATTAGATCAGTACCGAAGCCGTGATGTACCAAATAGTAACCGCATCATTTTCCGTTTACTGAATCCAGTAACGGCGTGATATCATTAACGGTTTTTCAATAAGAAGCCACGACAGACCCCTTCGCCTCTCAAATGGTTTCAGCTACTGCTGCACTGCATTAACAACTGCAAAAATCCATGAAGCTCTACAAGCAATCAAGCTTGATTCACAAGCGAGACAATGAGATCACCTCCGGCCAAAACTCCCCGTATATATCCAGAACTCCAAAGCCCCCCAAAACTCTCCCCAGATCCATTAACTACCTCTTCAAAGAACAGCGCTTCTTGTTCATCCTCGTCGGCATTTTAATCGGCTCCACATTCTTCATTTTCCAACCCACTCTTTCACGTTTATCCCCACATGAAACCGCCCAACCTTTCTCCAATTCAATAACTCGCCACACCCAGCATTTCCCCTCGACTTTCGGCGCCAAAATTGGGAGAGTTCCGGTGGAAATCGGACGGCGGAGATTGAGGATTGTCGTGACGGGCGGGGCTGGATTTGTTGGGAGTCATTTGGTGGATAAATTGATTAATAGAGGTGATGAAGTGATCGCGATCGATAATTTTTTCACTGGGAGGAAGGAGAATTTGGTTCACCATCTTGGGAAACCGAGGTTCGAGCTCATTCGACACGATGTCGTTGAGCCGATTTTACTCGAAGTTGATCAGATCTATCACTTGGCTTGCCCCGCCTCGCCGGTTCATTACAAGTATAATCCTGTCAAGACTATTATATCCTTGTTTAGATTTATAATTTTGAGTTTGTTTTATTTAAATGATTATTTTTGAAAAGAATGAATTTGAGATTCTTGACTGTGTTATTTACAAGACAAATGTGATGGGTACTCTTAATATGTTGGGACTTGCAAAGAGAGTTGGAGCCAAGTTCCTGCTTACGAGCACAAGTGAGGTTTATGGTGATCCACTTGAGCATCCACAGAAGGAGACGTATTGGGGAAATGTGAATCCAATTGGTGAATTTATAGTTACACATTTATTAAGTTGTTTATTTTTCTTCGATTGTATGAAGGTGGTTATTCGGATTTGTTTATTTTGTATGCTTGGATTCGATAGGTGTGAGGAGCTGCTATGATGAAGGAAAGCGGACGGCAGAAACTTTAACGATGGATTATCACCGAGGTGCAGGTGTTGAGGTGATTTTTTTTTTTTTTTTTTTGCTTTTACTTGAATGCAAGCAACTTTAGGATGTCTATTTTGTTATCAATATGATTGATTATGAAGAAGTTGCATAACGCATAAAACATATTTTGCAGGATTCCATTATAGGTTATTGGTTCTGATTTTAAAACTTAGTGATTAATTGTATAAGATTTGAATACTGCGGCAAATGTGATTCTGTTTTATCATCTGTGACTGTAATGGTTTTGATACAGGCTGGAATTTTAAAAGAAATAATGATGTGAAACAATTGAAACTTTTATTGGCAGCAAATCATGCAAGAATCTTAAACATAATTACAACCAATAAACCAGTCCGTATAGAGAGGACAAAACTCTAAAAGATAACAATAATATCAATCTCAGTCATCATTGAAACAGTACCTACCGGTATTTATACAGAAACAAACAGCTCTAAACTAGGAAATAGTTAATGAAGTGACTGAGTGGAATAGTGGAGACGTGAGGCAACTTGTTGGAAAAATTTATGGGCAAGCTTGGACCTATTCTTCAGGTACGTGCGTTAGACCCAGCAACTGGCAAAGCTGGACTTGGTCAACTGAACTCTGATTTCTACCACGTGACCTTATCTTGAAATAAGTTCATAAGGGAGGTGTGGTATCAGGTTTCCTCTTTAGTTGACGAGTATTAGAGGTCGGACTATGTTATTTAGTTATGGCTATATTGTACAACTAATACACCATTTGCATAATGCATTTCTTCCATGCATATGCTAGAGATTCAAACCTATTCATGAATTTGGTGGCTAAGTTAATCTTTCTGAGGAAACTTTGTACTTAAAAGCTTGTGTAAGGTAATATAATTAGTGATATGACATGAAAAATCGCAGTAGATGTGATTAGTAAGCTATCTCAATTTACAGTAGAATTGGTAAACAATTGGAAAGGGCAGGAAACACAGAATTGCTTATAAAGTGCTTAAGTTTTGGGTAGCAGTATCTTCAATTGCCTAAATTATGACTTCAATTGCCTAAATTATGAACTAGATTTTGAGAGTGCTATACAAATTTGTTAGAGAACTTTAACATATTGACAAACTAGATAATTCCTTTACTTCTTATGATTCTTATAAAAGCAAGCAAACATGGTCATAATTTGGTAAATATACCTAGATGTTATTAATACACAAACATACTTGATTTTAACTGTAGACAAGCACAGTCAGTTAAGTAAAGCAGCATGTTTATGATGTGGGTTTGCCTTTCAGCATATCTGAGCAAGCTTATCCATATGTGCTGGGCAAACTCCTCAACATTTGTGAACTGCCAGTTTACTGCTGAAAAAATTGCAATTTGGTTTGTCCTTGTTAAAGTATCAAATGTTTTTTATTGATTTAGAACTCAGTTACATATGCTTTGGGTTATTCATTCTAGTTGTTTTAGCTCCAAGATGCAGATCAAAGTGATATGTGTTTTGGTTTTAGTGAAATTTCTTTATGATCTTTGCCATTTGTGTCACTTCACTACATTTGTATTGTCAATTGTCATTATCAACCAATGGAGCTAAAGTTGGGGCCTGGTTTCTGCAGGTATGCATTGCTCGTATATTTAATACATATGGGCCTCGCATGTGTTTAGATGATGGACGTGTTGTCAGCAATTTTGTCTCTCAGGTTCAGTCTCCCTTCTGATAACTTTTGTGGCTTTAAGCTGTGGAGCAATACTAACATTGGTCATGGATGTTGACAGAGAACTTTATCTATGTTATGCAGGCCATCCGCAAACAACCAATGACTATTTATGGTGATGGGAAACAGACACGGAGCTTCCAATATGTGTCTGACTTGGTATGGTAGAGTATTTTCTTACTTTTTAATGACATGACCCCTTTAGTGTGGGGATTTCTTTGGATGAAAAATCACTACTGATTTCGTTGTGTCCTTCTAAACTTTTAACTCCTAATTCAGTAAGAAGGAAATAGGACGGGATGAAGCATAGACAAAGGAATAAGAACAGAAACAAACAATTTATCCTGTTAGTTTGGAGAGAAATGATGAGACGGAAGGGTAAGGATGTGCATCCCTCCAACTCATTCAAATCTCATGTCTTCCATAATGAATGAAAGATGGATGGAAAGATGAAACCTGTTAAAAAGAGAAACTTATTTTATAATTTTACCCTTACTCTTACAGAAAATTTGCCAAGTATAAGTAATATATAATATTTTTCCACATAAAACAATAATGATCAGAGTAGATTATGATGGTTTCTCGTCCTTTCTCTTATGAACAGCGAGGAATTGAGAATAATCTTCTTTCCTTCCCCCTTCCATCCGACCAACCAATGAATGGAAGGATGAATCCCTTTCCTTCTTCCCTTTCTTCCTCACACCTTAATCCCTTTCATTCTTTTCCTTTTTCTTTTCCTTCCATCCTACTAGATATATTATAATGCTGCAGCATATGAAAGCACCAGTATGTTGAATGGCTAGTCCAACAGTTCTCTTAGCAAAATCCAAACTACAGTCAGTGGTGTAAAATTTCGTCGAAGATTCAGATGGGTGAATAAAATTTAGAACCATGAATTTGTTTGGTCTTAGTTTCATAAATAGAGAAAATAGAAGTCCAAGTATTGTTCAATTAAAATCCATGGCTAATATTGCCATGTTTAATCCATTTTCATGTGTATGCTGCTGCTAGAGTAACTTTCAATAAGTGATCGTTTTTGTTTTTGCGTGTATCAAGTCAATCCAAAAAGAAAGAAAGAATAAACTTGCTAATTTTGGAAGAAATTTAGGAACACCGCAGATATATAGGATTTCNGAGAATAGAAGTCCAAGTATTGTTCAATTGACGGCCATGGCTAATATTGCCATGTTTAGTCCACTTTCATGTGTATGCTGCTGCTAGAGTAACTTTCAATAAGTGATCGTTTTTGTTTTTGTGTGTATCAAGTCAATCCAAAAAGAAAGAAAGAATAAACTTGCTAATTTTGGAAGAAATTTAGGAATACCGCAGATATATAGGATTTCCAATTGAACCGTTGAAATGACATCATTGAGGACTTCATCAATGATAGGTGGAGGGATTGGTGGCATTGATGGAAAGTGAGCATGTCGGCCCTTTCAACATGGGTAACCCTGGAGAATTCACCATGTTAGAGCTTGCTGAGGTTTGCCTTTTCTTGAAGCTGCTTATTTCTATTTTTATGCTTAATTTTATAATTGGTAAATCTACACTCTTTCATTCCCTGATTATTTCCAATATTCAAACAAAGACTAAAATTTCTCTTTCCATTACTCACATGGCAAATTCAAATCCTCATTTCTTGCTAACGTATAGGTCGTGAAAGAGATAATTGATCCAAGTGCAACAATAGAATTCAAGCAAAATACTGCTGATGACCCTTCCAAGAGGAAGCCAGATATTAGTAAAGCAAAGGAGTTACTGAACTGGGAGCCAAAAATATCTCTGAGACAGGGTTTACCGCGCATGGTAAGCGATTTTAGGAATCGCATTTTGAATGAAGATGAGGGAAAAGGGATAAAGTAATATTTACAGGATTTTAACATGTAAAGTTTGAAGAGCATGTCTGTATGTTGTTGATTCATTCTATCATATTATTATTACATTAATTTACATTAGTTGGAAATTTTAGCTAGTTCCGCTTCTGTAGGAAGATATATTATCTGTTTTTCACTAAGCATAGCGTGCTTCAGTAGCACAAAATGTACTCTTGCTGCATGTCGAATTTCGATTGCATTCTTTTACCTCCTGTTCTCTCACTGCCTTGAAGTAGTAAAATAAAGATGTGGATTTTGTTGGTCCAGCAAAATGTTAAATGTACAAACTAAGTATGCAATTTTTTGTATATGTGTTATAGATTTTATTGTCACACCATTAATATATACTAATTGAGTATCTATTGAGTCTTTTTTGTACAAACTCATTTATTCACTTTTGTGTTATATCAGTTTGTATGAAAGAGTTTGTATTCTTACTATAAACAAACCCCTTGTTTGTTACTTTGTTTTACTCTTTTCAATCATTTTTCTATTATCATATTTGGATTAAAAAACAAAATGTGTTTATTTACTTGTTGAGATCATTATTTTGAAAATCAATTCGAATCAAACAAGATTTTTTTTATTGAAAATGAAAAGTAGGTGGGACTTGTTTTTTATTATCCTATTCTAACATTTTTTCAACTCTATTCAACTAAAAATAATTACATTTCACAATATAAGTTTTTATAAATTAACAAAAACATTTCCACCTACCCAAGTCATTGTCGATCATCAGCAACTATCATCGCCACTGTCGGCCGGTATCGGAACGACATACGACCGGTCGAATCTGGCTATTTCCGACCAAATCCATGGTGGAGACGAAGTATACAAATTTTTGTATACGAACCAATGTGTTACAAATTTTATCGAGTTACTTTTTTGTACAAACTCATTTATTCACTTTGTATTATATCAATTTGTATAAAAGAGTTTGTACATCTCGTATTATTCTGACGAGAAACAAAACATCTATTATTATCCCTTATTATTCTTATAAGAAATATAGCATNTACTTATAAGTATTTTAACCAAACACGTAACTGCTTAAAATTTCAAATGCTTATAAGTTAAAATTAGCTTATAAGTATTTGTTGCTTATAAGCTAATTTTCATAAGCTCAGACAAACACCTCCTATATTAATTGAGTATCTATGGGGTCTTTTTTGTAGAAACTCATTTATTCACTTTTGTGTTATATCAGTCTGTATGAAAGAGTTTGTACATGTCGTATTATTCTTACGAAAAACAAACCCCCTGTTTGTTACTTTGTTTTACTCTTTTCAATCATTTTTCTATTATCTTATTTAAATAAAAAAATCGAATGTGTTTATTTACTTATTGGGATCATTATTTTGAAAATCAAGCCGAATCAAATAAGATTTTTTCTATTGAAAATGAAAAGTTGGTGAGACTTGTTTTTTATTATCCTATTCTAACATTTTTCTAACTCTATTCAACTAAAAATAATTACATTTCACAATAGAAATTTTTATAAATTAACAAAAATATCTCCGCTCATCCAAGTCACTGTCGGTCGTCAACAGCCACTATCGCCATCGCTGGCCAGTGCCGGAACGATGTATGACTGGTCGAATCTGGCTATTTGCGACCAAATCCATGGTGGAAACGAAGTATACAAATTTTTGTATACAAACCGATGTGTTATAAATTTTATTGAGTTACCTTTTTGTACAAACTCATTTATTCACTTTGTGTTATATCAATTTGTATAAAAGAGTTTGTACATCTCATATTATTTTGATGAGAAACAAAACATCTATTATTATCCCTTATTATTCTTATAAGAAATATAGCATATAGTATTTACTCTTATGAGAAACAAAGCAAGTGTTTGTATCTCATCTATGGATTGCCTGAGTATAAATTTCCAGAATAATGCTAAGTCCATAACTAAATTTCACAATTCTCGATGTGACAGCTTATAATTAGTCAATTCACAAATAGATTCTACCTACCTGATTACTGAAATTTCTGTTTCTTTGGATTAGTGGATTTGGGCCAATACAAACTCATCCAAGGATTTAATGGCAAATCAATTATGTCCAAGAATGGGCCTCGGATTCTAGGCTCGGATATACCTAGCTCAGGGTAAGCTTGGCAATATATAGGCTAGAAGTTGGGCCTGGTGTCAAAGGCCGACCCGGGTCCGAGTCTAGAGTTTTGCCAACCTAGATCGTCTCATCCCCTAGTCATTTGAACTGTATTTCTAACAAACTCTTATCAATATTCTATAAAGCGACCTGTTACCAAATCCAAAATGATGAATGTATCATCCAGATAAATTAAGCAAAGTCAGCGGATCCGTTTTCCTAGCTTGATTTTCCATCTCAATCATAAAAATCCTGGACAAAACTTGCCGACCCAATATGTAGAAAAAAGATGAGTTTCTTTCTGCCTTTTTCTTTTTGATGAGTTTACAGAGGGATCAAAATAAAGCAATGGCTCCAATATGGAACACTTGGGGCGGGACCATAGATTAAAAGATAAAGTGTAAATGCCGTGCCAAACTTCTGTTCTTCTTCTCTCCTCCACAGGAATGATTTTCCAAGCAAATTATTGTTTCATAACTTGACATTGTCAAGAAGAGGCGAACCAATTATAATTTATCTTATTTCTTCCCATGATGTAATGCTCAACCTAAAGGTGATAATTGAGCCAAGCCGTTTGTGAGCTGCTCGAGGTTTGGCTCGACTTCGGCCGAATTTGACTCGGCATTAGTTGAGTCGAGTAACTCTAATAATCCCATGATTTAAGTTCAATCATTGTACAAAAAACTCGATTAAGCTTGACTAAAACTCGAAAAACTTGATTAAAAATGAATTAAACAAGCTCGAATTCGAGGTACTGAGTTTAAGTTCAAACTCGATTCATCAGACTTGACCAGACTCGAACTTGATATTGTAGTAACCGAGTCAAGTTTGAGTACCCACATACTCCATTTGACTCGACCCAATAAATAGAGATATCAGTGAGATTGACCAGAAATTTTGACGGCCTTTATCACCATAATAGTTATATAATTTATAATCTATAAAAGGGAAAAAGTAAGTCAAAAACTTCATAAAGAAAAAGAGAGAGAACCCATTTATACTTCCTAAACAAAACCCCCACAACCACTTGATTGATCTATATTTATTGATAAAAAAAAAAAATGTTGGGTAGAGATGCATTGGACACTTTGATTGGTCCTAGGGTTGGGATGGAATGTAAAGTAGGAAAAGGAAAAAAAAGAAAAAAAAAGAGAAGAACAAAGCCAAAATAATTAAGCATCTGATTCCATTGTTAATGTGAAGAAGAGAATTCTTCCAGTTAATGGAAGATAAAGAAAGTGGCTTTGTGTCTCATCCAGAAAATTCTTTTTTCTTTAATTTTTCAGAACATGTTGAAAGAACTTAAAATTATTCCAATTGGTATTCTACTATCTGTCAGCATATGTTCTATTAGAATCCAGCCACAGTTCTTCATCAATAATTTTTTTTCTAGAAAACTTTTTCAAGATATTATCTTTCAATGTATTAAAGATGTTTTTATAGCAATGTGGGGTTTATTTCCTTTTGATTTCTTATGCTTGGATTGAATGATATTATTCAGGGACCACGAGGTTTTAATCTTCCACAACCACCCCATCAATGGTGAAATTAAAGCCATGGAGAAATTTCATTTTCTGCTACAGTATGCGGTATGCACATGATCAATAATAAATCTTATTATTATCTCCAGTGTAAAACTACACCAACTTCAAACACTCATCAAACAACCACCCCATCAATGGTGAAATTAAAGCCATGGAGAAATTTCATTTTCTGCTACAGTATGCAGCATGCACATGATCACTAATAAATCTTATAATTATCTCCAGTGTAAAACTACACCAACTTCAAGCACTCATCAATATCTGCTGGGTACTTGGAACATAATTAACTTAAAACATTTTTAGTTCAAATAGTAATTAATTCAGATTTATTGGAATTAGCCTAAACAGATTGGCAACAACATACATACATACATAATTAATGCCAATGCCTTTTAACTCTTTCTAATTATATGGCCATATGGTGGCTGATTATTTTACCGTTGGTCTGTCTCATTCTGACCCTTTTGTTTTGTGTTGTAAAATTGAATTCATCGACAATCTGCAGTGATGCAGGGCACATCCAACTGGCCACAGAGCACACGTTAATATGCAGTAATATTAAAAATTATAGGATACGACAATGGATGAATTTTGTTTTGGCATGTATATAGATATATAGTTTTATAAATCAGGCCAACGCATCTTTTAGAATCTCGCATCACCTGCAATCTTATCTAATCCACGAATCGTCCCATTGTATTGTATATCTAAATATTAATTTTATCCTTTTGGTTTCCCCAGAAGTTTGAGCATTTTACAGCTCTTGTTCATCCTCTTATTCCAGCACGCTTGCGAAGAAACAATTTTAAAACCTTTTTTTTTACTTTTTGGTGATAGGAAGTGTCTGAATCAACTTATGCGTACCTTAACTAGTCTTTTGGGATCCTGAAATAAACGACTTAACTAGTCTTTTGGGATCCTGAAATAAACGACCAGATAAATCATTTCGATGGCCACCTTCTTAGTCAAGTACTATTATTTAAAGTTCTATAAGATTTGGGTCCCAATTTCGATCATATATAAGAAGTACTAAACCTCTCACATTTGATAATTAATAATTGACCCACAAAAGTATATATTTCATACATATCCAATACATAGTTATATAACCATTTTTTTTAAATATATTAATACTTTTTTCTTCTAATGTTGCCCCATTTGGTGTAACAACCGCCATAGAGAAATACAACATATAGTTTTTATCATCAAAAAATAAAAAAGAAAACAACATTTTACCTAGCTACTACCATATATACCATTTTTTCATCCATTAAAGCCATAGAAAAGTTGTTGTATCTCATAAAGATCACATAAATACTGTTTGGCCCTGCACGTATAAGATACTTTCACTTTCTTTTCTCTATCTTTTTCCTTTTGCAAACTTTTTGTATTTTAATATCTCAATTTTCTATCAATTCTAGGACCCTTCTTAGTAATGTTTTAAATTTATTATAAGAATTAAAGTATGTATATTTATATTTGAACTAAGTTTCAGATGATTAAGTAAAAATTATTAGGTCCCCTCCTACCTTATATATATATATTCATTCCATGATCATAATATTTCTTGTTGTATTTACTTTTTTATGTGCATGTGTAATTAATTTCTTCAAACTCACTTTCCTCTCTATCTGTCACAAGAGATCAATTGGCTCAAAGCATAAAGTCAGAGCAACCAACTTTATTTCGAAACTTCTTCTTTCTTTTTCTCTTTCTCTTTCATGGAGATTCTATAAACCACTACTTATCTCTTTGCATGTTTTGTTCAACATTATTCAAAGATGAAAGGAATAGATATCTTCTGTGCATCTCAAGCTTCAACCGCCATTTGTTTAAGCATGGATCAAGCGTCTTCCTCCTCCCCATCTTCTTGCTCCATTCTCCTCGGCGGCCGCGCCATCGACCGCCATAACCCCATCATCGGAGATGGAAGAAGATTCACCAAAGGTCTCCCCACCGCCCCTTGTTCTTCTCACCCACTGCCTATCAATCCCAAACCTTACCACCAACTTCAAAAGACTAGAAAAACTTCTTCCAATAAGTCATCATCAACTGATCAAACCAAGAAACATTCAAGTGATCAAAAGAAGAAGACTTCATCCAAGTCATCCGATGTCACTAAAAAGACCAGCTCTTCTAAGGGAAGTGATACTGCAGATTGCAAGAACAAAAGTTTAGATAAGATTATCGACGTTAAAAAGAAGGGATGTGTTAAGCCACAGGGTGATTTATTCACCCCTCCTGGCTCGTCGAGATATCTCTTGAGCGACGCAGCTTTCTTGGATGGGTTGTCGGATTATGACCCGGTTTTGGCATTGGTTCCCGTTGAACCCAACAAGAAGCCTCTGCAGACTGTTAAACAAGATGATGAATCCACTGCTCCCAAACTCTCCTCATCATCATCTCGCTCTGAAAAGCCTTCTTCAAACCAGGTGGTTTTTTTTTTTTTTTTTTTAAAGAAAAAACATTTTCTGACAAATTATTTCTGGTCGTGAGTAATCTGGGTTACTGTAACGATAATTAAAGTGATGAATGGTGCAATTTAATAACTTCAATCAATTTGTTTGCAGGTTGTAGTTTTGAGAGTGTCATTGCATTGTAAAGGCTGTGCCGGAAAAGTAAGGAAACATCTATCCAGAATGAAAGGTATGAATTCATATGACTTATCGTATCCTTTTTATTTTTGTCTTTTGGAAACATCATAAATTTCAGAACTGCCACTTTTGTTTCTGGGGCCTATCCCCTCTGGCACACAAGATTAGGTGTTCTCAGCTAATAATTCATCGTACTGTCCAAGACCTCAATCTTCCTAACAATCTTGTTATTAAAGTTAATTAACGTCTATAAACTCAAGAAAATTCAGATTTAGGAAATTAAGGATTCAAATTCATATAGTTGTTACTATGTTCACAGGTGTGACGTCGTTCAACGTAGATTTTGCGGCGAAGAAGGTGACAATTGTTGGAGATATAACCCCCTTGAGTGTCTTGGCGAGCGTTTCAAAGGTGAAGAATGCGCAATTTTGGCCAGCTGCCCCGCCCCCAGATTCATCCGCAGTCACCTCTGCTAATAATCAAGAAGTCAAGAAATAAAATTAAGAGGTACCACTGTAAATGTAAATTATGGAGTGTTAATTAGGATGGGGATGAGGCCGAATCAGAATCTTTGTTGCTTAGATAAAGAAAGTAGAGAAAATCTAAGGGGGTCATCAATGGTTTTCTTTTAATTACCGGTTTTGCTCTGAGACCACTACTGTAGTTTATATTATTAATTCTGAAGAAAAGCTTGGAATCTTTTAGACATTATTATGAAATATCAGAACTCTAATGGAAAAGGGCCATTGCGGTTTCCTATAACATGGTATTATTTAAAAGTTTTTCACCTGGATGCCCTGGAACATGTTGTTTAGAAAATGGCAAAACGTTAATTATTGGTTCAAGATCATGTTAATTCTAAAGTATTTTACATGGTCTCCGAAATATGCTGGGAACAGGGCATCCAGGTAAAGCCATCAATAGGTTTAATTGTGTCCTGGAAACCTTCAATTCAAAGGTAGAAAGAAAAAAAAAAGTATCTGATTCTGTCAGGTCAGGACCTACTTCTTTTTGCTTCCACTAAAAACTGTGACTCTTTTTACAAGACAAGTGTTAGCAAAATGAAGCATCGAATAGCTGATTGGAAAGTTTAAGCCATAATAGTTTCCATTTGGGTGGCTAGTTCACCAAGAAAGAAAAGTAGCTTAACATCATTAATCTCAGTATTTTCTTATTAATTACTCACCACTTTACTGAACCTTTTGATTAAGGAACACCCCATGGCATTGAACAATATTGGCTCTCCCACTAATCTGTCTACTCATCATCTTTTATAAAAATGTCCATCTTTGCTTTTAGCAAAATGATGAAGCTTCCTGAAAGTGTAAAATGGAAGGTTACGTCAGCTACTTGAAGGTCTGAAAAAAATGAATGCATAAAATGTTCATATTATTTAATTTAGAATTCGTATATAACTGATTATTTTAACAAGGAAAGATAGAAAATTTAAGTGCTTTTACCAGCTAGTATTCTTGGCACTTCTTGAGGGGTGATCCCTTTCACCCTTTGTACCAATTAAATTGATGTTGACTAATACGGAGGTTGCACATGGCACAAATTAACGGCAAGAGTCTAATTCTAATAAGAAGACAAGAAAAAAAACAGGATTAGTTGAAGTGCACGCTAAATTGGTCGGACACCCAAATCACAAAAGAAAAAAAAAAAAAAGGGGCCACTTTAACTGGATTTTAGAGGAGGAGACAAGTGAGCAGAAGTTCCCTCAACTGAAGTAAATTTTTAGATCAATATTGGGAGTAAAAAGGATTAAAAAAAAAAAACGAGGGGCCACTTTAACTGGTTTTTAGAGGAAGAGATCAGTGAGCAACTGCCCGTAAATTTTTGGATAATATATTGGGAGTAAAAATGATTGTGTAAACAGTTAAATTTAAGGAGTTTATCCCTAGAAACAAGAAAGAGATTAAGATAAAAACAAATCTTTTGGAAATAAAATAAGCTCTACCAGTAACCTATATTTACTGTTTTCTCAATAAGTAAGATAAATATGCTAGGCAAACCCATCAACACTTCTTATTATGTTTTGACGCTAATAATATGATGTAGCGTGGGATAGCATAACAGAAGGCAGGTAGCATCAAAGTAGCATTGGATAAGCATAAATCAACAGATAAACATCATTGTAGCATGGGATGACTTTTCTTTCATTTTAATTTTTTTTATTCTAAGTTATCATTTTCATTTTTATCATTATCAGACAGACTATTTTAATTTTTGTTATTATCAAGTAGTTAAAGTTATGATAATAAACAGTCCCTAAGAGCCAGTGGCGGATTTACTTAATGACGAGTGGGGATCACGGCCCCCACTCAAACTTTAAAAAACTTTAGATTACATAAATATTTATATTTAGTTGCATTTTACCCCCTATAAGACTTTGACATTTTGCCCCCACAAATTTTTTTGTTTATTTTTTACCCCCATCGAGTGAAATTTCTGGATCCGTCACTACTAAGAGCTATGTAATAAGTATCCCTTATTTGAATAAACAATTGTTATTTTTACACTCAGTGTTTGAAATAGTCTAAAGTTATTTTGCTACTACAAATATCCTGTTTTGTAGCATTTTTTACTTCAACGAATCTCTTCCGCTACGCCATTAAAAAAAATACGATCAAGACAATATAAATAAAATAAAATAATTTAGAGACATCATCAAAAGACGTATATCTTTGACCTAAATGAGCTTCAATTGTCCCATTAACCGGCTGTGCTTAAAATACCTTCACTAGTTCTTCTAGTAAGCTGATAAAAAATGTTTAACTCTCATCGATTTAACATGAAAACGAATACTAATCCTTTAGCTTTAGGACACATTTCTATATGTATGATAAATATATTAAAACTTTTGGGTATATTACTCAAGAAGTTATAAATTCGATTCACCTCGACTATTAAACCGATAGTTTTAGGGTCTCGAAAGATTAGTTAAGGTGTGTACAAGTTAACCGGGACAACCCCAATCATTAAAAAAAAAAAAAAGAATTGAAGAATATGCCATGTCTATTATAATTCCTAGCGAGAAATCTGAGTTAGAGTAAATGTTTATATATTATGTTCTTCAATCCCATTTACGGCACCAGGGCTCGATTAATATTTTATCCCATCAGACTGATGAATTATAGTTTCTTTTACATATACATTTACATCCATTTGGGAACATTTGTAAGAAATTATTTTATTCAATGATATATTGATATATATATATATATATATATATAAAAACTTGAATCTGACAATATATCGCACAATAACGAAGTGTGGTATTAATTTGAAAAGGCTTAATTTAAAGTCCTATAATATTGTTAAGCCTTACTTTGATACCATTTAAGATCAAAATTCAAAAATTGAAAATTTTGTTCCCCAAAACTAACAGCTTTTTGCTTGTGTTTCGGACGAAATATAAAAAATGCTTGGGCTGAAGAGCAATTAAAACAAGAAATGAAGAAAATTTTGCATGATGTTGCATGGACACCCACGTTTCAGAATCTCCGTAAATATTAGTTACCACATCCAAACTCAACTGCCACTAATTTAAGTTGTTATAGTCAAAGATAACTACAAAATTTACAGATTATTATTATTATTATTATTTCAAATTTCAAATTTTAATTTAGTAGAACTCTAATCGAAACAGAATTTTGGATAGTCACCATCTCTTTTTGTTTCTGTTGTCTTCACTCATTCAACTTGTCTTCAATTTAATTTTCTTCACAGTTTCTTTTAATTTTCTTCCTACAACATTGTCTTCCCTCGATTATTTTTTATTTTCCTTAATAAATTTCTTGTCTTCCTCAATTGTTTCCAAGATTTTGTAGGGTTCCTGTCTTTCTTTATATCATTAATTTCCCAGATCTAAAAATCATGAAAAGGTCCATGTCTTCTTCCCCATTGAATGACATCTCTGACAGAGAAGATGATGGTTGGCTGAATCTCACCCTCTCTTTGCCGCCGCCGGATCCATCGGCCGCAGCACAAACAAATCCTCATTGTCAGAATTTGAATTTGCCTCCATTAGCAATTCCTCTTTCTCCACCCTCTTCGCACGAATCCCATCCATCACCAACGCTCAGCCAAGAGATTACTACTGGTGCAGGTCCGTCCCGTTCGTCGCGAACTCGAAGATCTCCAGCTCAAAAGCTCAAGCCAGGTAAAACCGAAGCCGTACCTGCACCCTACCCGTGGGCAACAACTCATCGCGCCACAGTTTACAGTCTCGAACATCTTTTGTCACATAATATTACCAAGATCAGAGGGGAGCTTCAATGCAAACGTTGCGAGATAAGTTTCGAGATTGAATATGATTTGCAAGAAAAGTTTATGGAGGTTGCATCTTTCATTTCAGAGAATAAGTTTACAATGCATGATCGAGCACCAGAGATTTGGATAAACCCTAATCTTCCTAGTTGTAAAGTTTGTGGTCAAAATAATAGTGTGAGGCCAGTTACTTCGAAGAAGAAATCAATAAATTGGCTGTTTTTGTTTCTGGGACAAATGCTTGGGTGCCTCAAACTTTCTCAGTTGAAGTATTTCTGCAAACATACGAAGAATCACAGGACGGGAGCCAAAGATAGAGTTCTTTATCTTGCTTATTTAGGGTTATGTAAACAATTGGATCCCAATGGACCCTTTGATATTTAAGAGATCATATTTCTTTCATTCATTTTTTTTTTCATTCTGTCTAGTTTTAGTTTCTCTATTGATAGATTTGGTGTTACTCAATATATAGAGTAATTTCTACCTTGAATTTATTAGCCTCATTCTCTTCATACTAGTAAGAGTGATCGTACTCTATTCAGTAGATGATATCAATTTAATGAATATTCAAATATATATATATATATATATATATATATTTCTGTATGATGCATAGTAAATATGATCTTTAAAACTATATGATTTTGAATATGGAATCCAAGAAAAGTTCTAGAGATATTCTGTCCTTGTATATCCAAAATTCAAGGGATTTCATTCCTTTTATGATGAGATATCATTCTTGTTTTATAACAAATGAGATCCATTATACCACATCAATAGTAAGTATAACTTTTAAATGATTCGTACATAGATATCACTTAGATTTACACTAAATATGGACATTAGTTTACGGGTAAGAGATTGAAAAAACAATCAATATGAAATATAAAAACATAAAATCGAGGCATATTTCAAGGAAGGCAATATTCTTTCTGTCGACTCTTGGAGCCATGCCCTGTGGATGCCTAGACTATATTTAATAGCGATATTGAGGTAAAATCCACAAAAACCAAAGAAAATTAGCATTATAGAAAATGGGAAAAGCTTTTCAAAAACTGCTGTTAGTTGTCTTTGTGATTGCAATGGCTTCAGGTTTTGCATTCGGGCCATCTAGTGCCAGAAAGCTTGAGATGAAACCAATTACAGATGGTCATTTTCCAATTCAGAACAACGTTGTGAGCCCAAAAGATTTGTCCTTTTCCAGAAATTGGAATTTTGGAAAGCTGCCTAAGGGTACGCCTATTCCTCCATCTGGGCCTAGTTCCAGGACATCCGATTATCCTCCGCCGCCACCGCCACCAGAAGATTTGCTTGTGTAAAATGGTTTAAATTTGGTATTTATATGGATGTATATCTCTAATAAAGTTTAGATTGATTTTACCTTCTTCTTTTTTCACTTATGATCCAAGGCAGCCCCATAAGGTTTGATTATTTCACATATTAATTAGTGGAAATATGTTTTCTTTTATAAATTAATTTCGGATATGAAATCTCCCTTTATTTTCTC